CTCCTATTTCCTGGTTGATAAGTTTATCCAGCCATTTTTAATGAAATTTCCACTACCTGGAACCTGAACTCTTACTGTTGAGAAGTTTGCTGGATTGTGACCTTTTTTCTTTGACCTTTAAGCCTGCACTTTGTAATTCTAAGGCTCCATTTTTGTAAGTAAGACTGAAAAATTGACTGTACCTCTTTTCACTTTCAATGCTATGCATATTACTGCTGACATTGTGTATTGTTTGCTTTCTAAGGTCAATTCTAGATCTCTTACTGTCTTAAAATATTTTAAAATGATAATAAGCCAAGACTGGGTGTAGGAAATACAGTAAGTCAAAAGGTTTTGTGACTTCTAAGTGAAATGATGTATAATGACCAATTTTACTGTAGGCTAATTGATATAAACAAGAGCTAAGTTCTTAAGGCATCTCATCAGCGTTATAACGAAGCAGTGTTATTTGAGGACCTGCTGTAGTTTATACTGTGCTTAGCTTTATCTGAATACCTTTCAGATCATGTTGAGCAATTCATATTCAAGTTAGTTAATGCTATTCCATGAACATCTATCAAACTCAATTTTGACAGGTGAACATACCTAACTAACATAGAGCATAAAGAACAGTCCAGTTAAAAGAAGAAAAATTAAAATTTAAACAATAGTCCTAATTTCTTCCAAAATCATGTTGCTTCTTTTTTTTTTTTTTACTTCCCATTTCACATCTTAGATGCTTAGTTCCTCGTTTTGTATAAACATTATCTGAAATAAGGAATAGGAGGTTAGAAAGAAAAATGATTAAAAGTAAATGCTGTGGTTCTAGAGATACCTAATCATCTTTTTCATCTCTTAAAAGAAAAAAGTCTAACTTTGAAAGGAGATTTCATTTGTAAAATTGACTCTGTACTTCATAAGCAATGTTCAAATTCATTGGTGATAAATATGCATGTTGATATAGTAAAATCCCATTTTTTACATAATGCTTTAATGGAAATGGCAGTTTTATGAAATGAAAGTGACTAGTAAAAATCTGAATGATGCTCATAAGCCCTTACATCATTTTTATTGAGGTTTTTGTGTATTCTAATTCATTAATACAGGGGAAAAGGAGAACACTAACATGGTTTATTTCCTGTAATTATTCAAATAGAATAGAATTTATTTTCAATAAAATTCTTAGAGTAAATTGCTGGGGGTGGGGAGAGAAAGGTTGACCTGTTTTTATAAAATGTCCTGATTTTTACTCATGAGACTTTGCCATTTTGCCGGTGATGTTCATTTGCATATGTTTCCCTCCAGATTTTTACAAATTATTACACCGACCTAAGCCCAAGAAATCCTTAATACTTAAAGACCCAGGAATGAGTGCTGAGGACAAATCGGGGATACTTATTTTACCCTGCTTATTAGTACAAGTATTGTCTTATAATTAGACTACTTTTTACGTGCTGCATAAAGGTTGAAACATTATTGAGATTGCTCTGTAATAGATTAACTGGGTCGATTTCCAAAAGAGCTTAGTGTTTACAGTTACAATTGGTTTTTTTGTGTGTACCTGGAAGAAAAGGTCAACGTAAGAGATAAACAAATACAGCAGGCCCTCAATTAACATCATTTTGTTCAAGGTAGTTTGACTATAATGTTGATGAGATGCCCCAAGAACTGAACTCTTGTTTATATCAATTAGCCTGTGGCAAAATTGGTTTCATTATGACATTTTGCTTAAAGTTGCAGGACCTATGATGTGAAGTAAGGAATTAACTGTACTTTAAAAGTTTAGGCTCCCAACTTCATGAGGTAGGGTGGGTAGGAAGAGATACTAGAAATTGAGTTGGAAACAAATACTCTTAATTTCATCACGGTGTCATCTTGCTAGCATCCCTGTGTCCTGCTCTCCGTGTACTTTAAACACCTTTGAAAAATCCGTTGTTTTTTATGTTTGTGGGCAGTTATAAATTCTTGGCATTTGATCTGAAGATACTTCCATATTCTTGAGGCAGAATTTTGTTGAAACTCAACTTTAAGCTTATGTCTGGAGAGCTTTAAGTCCTGGTAATTTGTAAGTCACCTTAAAGTTGTCTGTGAATACCTTTTTTACCTCCAGGCTTTATATTTGAAAGCATAGCCCTTTTTAGGTGTCTTTGTGTAGACACATATTTTTGCCTATTTTCCTCTCCTTTCCCCCAGCATTGTGGGGCTATTTGAGCTGTAGCTATGCCTACATGGAGTTCTTGCACTTGGCAATTTTTATGTGAGGGCCAGGAAATGTATGTAGGTGGTGATCTTGCCCATGTAGGTTTGTGTGTTGTTTGGGCATGAGTATGTGCATGTGTTTGTTTTCTTTGATCCCAGAAAACTAGAGTTGTGTTCAGGGATTCTTTTTTCATCATTGCTGAAATGCTCTCCACCTGAAGTAAGCAGAGGACGTAACGGGAGCTCAGACTTTCTTTATCTTCATTGTGAGTCAGACTGCAGGCATTGGAGAGTGGAGAAGGGTAGAGTCACAGAGAGCCATTGCCTCCATAATCCCTCAAAAACTGCCTCACCACCAAGTGTCCTGTTTCTCCCTTAACGCCAAGAACTTGATACAAGGATGGAGTCCTGTCAGCATCTGGCTTTCCTTCATGGTAGCTGAGAATCCTTTTGGGCCCCAGGGTACCTTACCTCTTGTATAAGCTTTTAGTTCTCAGTATGGAGATGACTTAGAGGTGCACTACCAAGGACTACTCCTTTCCCCACATCTGGCCACAACTGCACTTACAGAATACCTCTCTCTCACGGCTTCCAGCCTGACTCCCAGAGGGAGGGCCAAAGGTAGCACTTTATTGGAAAGGTAAACAAATGGACAGCTTCTCTTTAGGCATTTCATTCTTGAAGATGTCATTGCCTGTGAAATGAGAATAGCTTTTAGTACAGATAACCCCAAAACAACAGATGATCCAGTAATAGAATTGGCTCTATTTTAATGCAACACATGCATTTCTAAAAATCACCATACTCTGCAAATAGCACGGTAAAAACCACAGGACTTACAAGGGGGAAACGAAGTTAGGTGCCTAACACTCAGAAACTTTGTTGTGTATACACACACACATACACAGGTTACTAATAAAAGCAGTAGCACAGTTTTGCATACATTAAGTATGTGGGAAATACATAAATACTACATTTAAGTATGGCATTTTACCTCAAAAAAAACTGTCTGCTTATGGAAGTGGGCATTGGAGGAAGGAAGAGGGTCACCTGCAATTGAAGGGACCATGGGAACACCAGGTGTGATAGGCATGGCTCCTAATCCAGAAGGTAGACTGAGGTAGTGGTATGTGGTTGAGGTGTGTCGCAGGTGTGTATTTCTGTGCAGCATGGTTCGGCAGGATACAGTTTCCTGTGTTCACCTAGCATTTCTTGCAGACAAAATCACACATAAGCAAATGTGAAATTAGTTTTATGCTCAGATTGTCCCCCTAATATGTACATCAATCACATTGGAACAAATTCACAGTTTCAAAATAAGCTTTATAGTAGAACCAGCTGTAGTTTATTTAATTTTGGAATTGAGTTTCTTTTCCTTTTTTCCTTTCTACCATTATTGATTTCTTAATTTATATTTAAGCCCATATCATTGATTGATTTTATATACCCTGAGCACCTCTAATGCAGAGAAAGCAGCCGAGATTTTAATTTTGCTAGTGGTAATCTATGAGGTAGTTTTCCCCTTGGTAAATGAATGTGTGTATCTGTGTCATGTAGACACACACACACCTTTCCTAGACGCCCGGCACAGTGCCAGAGAAACTTGGGAACAGTATCATCCTTGTCCTCAGGAGCTTAGAATCTCATTAAAAAGTTGTCAAGTCATAGATTTAATTGTCTTTGTTGGTTGGGTCTTCTCAGGGAACATCTGACAAAGCAACATTATGTATTTCTTAGTTTGTGAACACACACCCACACACACCTTCCACCCCATCGCCTACCTCCCTGTAAAGAGCTTGCCTAGAGGGAACACTAAGATAAAATTTGAAAAGGACCTAAGAGGTCTCATAGTTCAAACTTTCCACGTGATTCCGTAATAAATACAGTGGTCAGGTGTCCATGGTAGATTGGTAAATGGGAAAAAAGCAAGTTTCAGAGTAATGTGAATAGTATGATCCCATTTTTGTTAATGCTCCCTCCCTGCACGGGTATGTACATACTGTTTATATGAGCACAGATGATGTGGAAAGATCTACCATAGTTACCTCAGGGGACAAGGGAAAGCTTATTAACTTCCTCTTTATACATATTTTATTGTTTGGCTTGTTTTAAGCAGCATGTTTTACTTTTTTAATTAAAAAATTTAATAAAGTAGAAAATGAATAAATAATAATAAAATATCCTCAGGGCACTGAGCTTTCTTTCAATCTTCCCAGTATCCTGGGTAGTTAAAACTGAATGTGACGTTTCAGGTGTGAGCTGCCCAGCAGGACTGTGAATTTGCTATAGCCCAGATGTTGTGGACTCTTCTGGCAGTACCACTATATTGTTTATAGACCGCTAACACCTCAAAGCCTTTCTTACATCTGCCATTCTGCACACACTGCCACTGATCATCACTGTGCACCCAGGTCTGGCCCTTTACACTCTCCCCATTAGCTTTCTTCTTGTTATTGTGGAAATCAGTATTAAGCATAGGTTAAGAACTGGCCTTGGAGTCTAGCTGCCTGATTACAGAGCCTAACTACCACTAACTAGTGTGAAAACATAGACAAATAATGTGTCTTCCCGAGCCTCAGTTTTCTTGTCTGTAAAACAGCAGTAGTCATAAAATTGTGAGGGATGTTAGAATGCTCACTGGGTACCTGGCGGCATGGTGAGAACATGTGGATTTTAGCTGCTACTGTTAGTGCGTTAGCCTCAGCTCATCTCTGTTATTTATAATACTGAGATAGTTTTGGATCTCGAATCTTCCCTTAACCGTATTCCGTTATCCCTCTCAACCTCAGACTGTAAATCAGTCTTCCAAACTTTCTTCATGAGATCCCCAATCAGTCTCTGTCTCTCTTTCCATAGGTCCCTTCACTGATGTTGTCACCACCAACCTAAAGCTTGGCAACCCAACAGACCGAAATGTGTGTTTCAAAGTGAAGACCACAGCACCACGTAGGTACTGCGTGAGGCCTAACAGTGGGATCATTGATGCAGGGGCTGCGATTAATGTATCTGGTAAGTCCTGAGACTGGAGGCTGGAAGGGTGGGCTAAAGAGGCCCCCTGAGCCAGTGGGATTTCTTAAAGGTTGTATTTGCAGTGTAGCAAAATAAGATGTAGACTTCTCTCCCCAACCTTCCAAGCTTAGTGGGTCCCCCCCTCCTGTTGTTTTTCCATAATCAATGCCTCTTTAGTGTAATGCTTACAAACCTTCGCACCTCAGTGGTTAGAGCAGAATTACAGTGGTAACTTCAGACTTCAGAATGCGTTTGGTTTTCACTCCCTTGAAATTAAATCTGCCTTTTGGCAATAAATAAAAAGGGCTAAACAAACTTAATTTTACTTTGTGGGAGAAAGCTAAATGGAGTTATTTTCTTATGTAGGCTAAATGATTTCTGACATTAAGCTCATGTCATTTCCAATGACTGGTAACTGCACTTTACTGATTATGAAAGGCTAAGGGAGACGAGGGCATAGGAAATTAGAATATATTCAAGGGTGTGAGTTTTGTTCATGTCTGATGGCTTGTTTTTCCCCTTCCGTCTGAGAGTGCATATATTTTCCAAAGTCCAACTTTTAAAAAGATACTGTTAAAGTGCCCAAATTGAGAATTGGATTTCAGAATTAAGGAGATAGAAGTGATGGGTTTGAGTTTAATGTATTTTAGAAATGGAATAAACTTTTAGCTCATTAGGACTTCTGATCCAAGGATGCCTTTGTGTTTATGAGGAACTGTGTGGGTGTGGGTGTTTATCCTTTGAGTATCAGGAGATGAACCATAGTGGGCTCTGCATCATTAGAGGCCACTACTTGTTTGAAATGGGTACCTGGCTGGCTTTTTTCATGACAGATTTTGATTGTGATACATTTGGCTATTCACTTGACACCTGAAAGAAAATGATTCACTTCTTAGGAAAGATATGAGGTGTTTCATAATCTGATCATTTCTGCAAACTCTTATTCCCTACATCCATTGGTCTCTCTCATTATGGCGCGCCCACATCAGCTATCCCCCGTGCGCTTCTGAAGCTGCAAAAACCCGATCTGGACTCTTGAGTCAGCTTATTATCCAGGAAAAGTCAAAAGTGTAGGAGCCCACATTTACTGAGGGTCTCCAGCATGCTGGGCCTGCACACACATCATCTCCTGTAACTTCTGTTCTCTGCCCTGTGAGGAGCACACTGTTACCTCCATTGTACCAAGGAAACTAGCAAGTGACAGCAGGGTGTGAATTACTCTGCCTGGCTTTAAAGCCCCAGCTGTTTGAACCATAGCACCCTGGAAAACAGAAGGGGCCCAGGATGTTGGTGTTTCTGTACCCTTGGTTGGTTCTATAGGTTTAAAAATCAAATGGGTTTCTGTTTTTCTGTTGAAATCAAGTGCATCCTAGTCTTTCATTCTCTTCTTTTATTGACATTTTTTCCTTGATTTCCTTGCCATATCATATTTGAGCAAGGTTGTCAGTAGATGAGAATTACCAATTTTCACAGTAACTGTGGGAGCAGTAACATGGTTTTCTGAATAATATAGTCTCAACAGGCAGGTGTACAGTGTAGGTGTGTTTTCCAGTGTTATAAGTTTGTGTGTGTGTGTGTATCTCTTTCAGAAAGATCCATCCCTCTCCATCATAGAAAGTTTTTTTAAAGTAATAACTAATCCTGGGTGTTTGTTTTGATTTATGATTTTGATTTATGATTACCTGCTTAAGGAAGACCAAAACATTGTGGGTGTCGCCTTCCTTTGGCAGATGAGAAGGTAAGGTGCAGAGAGTGGGCATGGTCATCTAGAGTCCTTGGGTGGTTAGTAGTGGCAGAGCTGGTATTTGAAGCCAGGTGTCTTAGCTCCTGATCCAAGGGCTCTAAGCTGCCTCAGCATTGTTAAGGGAAGGCCCCACTTACAGGTAAATATAGTGCCCTGGCTCTCAGCATGTGGTGTACTTGGGGAAAGGAATTGCATAATAAACTGTGTGTCTGCTGGCCTGCCTTCTAGATGAGAAGGATTATGTTTGCACATGGAAACGGTCCCTTAGTTTTTGTTTGGTGTGTATTTATCTCAGTGCTTGAGGTGCCAGTGGTTGAGGCTAGATGTCAGTGTATTTCCAGGACGACCTCACCCGTTGGCACAGGAGGCTGGCACCCGTTTGTTGCAGTTTTATGTGCTGAGGGGCCACTCTGTCATTTATGAGATATTCATGCCTTGGGGTAAAAGCGCTGCACTTTTCCAAGGGTCTTAAAGGCAGCTACATGATGACATCTTCCCTTCAAGGAGAGAACATCCTCAGGAGGTCACAGTGCAGCTCGTCCAAAGATCAGCTTTCCCTTCCCACAGGTGCACATGTGCCCAGGCTCTACTTAAAGATTCGGGGTCTGAAAACCTGCATAGCAAGCCCGGCTCTGCTTTGTAACCTGTGGCCTGATCTTTGCCCAGTCCATCAACCTTTCTAGTTTGTAGTTTTCACATTTGTAACATGGAGAGTAGTATCTGCGTCTCAGAGTATTTATGCTGCATTAACTGTGGGCATGTTATGAGGAAGGGATTCCACTATACTTGACATAAACTGGCTAGTTTGTTGTTGTAGGTAGATTATACATCCTTGAATTGCTTTTTTAGAAATAAACTAATTGCATACATTTCATTAATTTATGGACTTTTGCTAATTTTAACAAGAAATTTGTGTTTTTCTTCTTTTATATTCTACATTTGTTTTTTAGTGAAAAGCCGCTAGTAAATCTTCAGATATAATCTAGAAAAAGGTGGCCTTTGAATCAACTTAAAATACTGCCGGCACTGCCCTGCCTGCCATGCAGAATGTCACAGCATACCTGGGAAGGATGTGGCCAGTACAGGACTTCTGTCCCATGTCTGAAAACTGTGAGATCTGCAGCTGTTAGGGAAGGTTGTAAATCATTCTTGGAGAGGGGAGCAGGCGGGGGGGGGAGGAGGATTCCCACCATGGAGCTGGCCAGGGGCACTGAGGATTTTTAGGCCCATAAATTGGATTGTGATGTGGGAGTGAGAATTTCTAGCTATCAGATGTCTTTCAGACACACCCTGTGGGGCTCTTCTTAGCTTTTGGAAAACCACATATTCAAAGGGCCTTTCTTTTTTGGTCAGAAGTCCAGATTCTGACCTTTCGTGTTATTTTTTTCAGAAGATGGCAAATTACTTACTGGGTCCTTAAAAAAACACACACCCAACTCTGTTTTATAAACTTAAGTGGTAAACTAATGGTTGAAAACAGGTATAACCTAAACTTTTTGTGTCAGTAGGTGAAAATGGGACCTCCCAAAGGGGGTTTGGAGCTGTCCACTCAGGCCTCTGATCTGAGTTCTTTTATTTATCCTTTACTTAGGCGCTCATCTCATCTCATCCCATCCTTACAGTAGCGCCTCTGGGCCCCATGCCTGTTGGGTGAGGCATTGTATGAAGCAGGGGTGCAGGCACTTACTCTTTTCATTAACTGGGCCAGAGGCCGTGGTCCTGACCCCTGCTCCTTGATGCACACCCTCTGCTAGAGGTGGTTTGGAGTTATTCAGCTCTGGGCCTCAGCGGGATGAGCACACTGAGGGGGAGGTCGGGGAAGAGGAGGTTGGATTTTCCCCCCGAGATTTTAAATGCAAGGAAAATAGAACTTTGTGAATGAATGAACTGTCTGAAGCAGTGGGGGGTCTCCCCATTTGTTCTAGCTTTACAAAATTAAATCTATTTTCTGAACTGTCTAGTGGGAAGATATTTTTAAGGTAGGTCACTTTTGAAAATGTCTTTGTGGTAAGCTGTTAGTGGTTGTGGATTTTTTTTTAAATACTGCAGTTTAATAATGAGGGAGTTTTCCATTAATATTCCAAACCATGTTTGCCAGCGGATACAGCAGGTGAAGTGGTAAAATTATGGGCCCATCAAAAATACTTACGCTTCCTGTAATATGATATTAAGTTTAATATTTTTATAACCTTCACTGAATTCTAATTTCACTAAAGTAGCAAGCACGCTTCCATTTGCAGTTCAATTATGCACATTGGTTGCCTGTGTACCAAGCAAATTAGAAATGTAAAATATCTCTGTTGGGAGGGGCACTGGGAAGAGTCATTAAAGATACCAGTATTTAGGTACAGACACACTTTACTAAGTGTACCCTGGGAACTGGAAATGGATGAGAGACACACACAAATCTTCTAGTGTCTGAATCTGTAGTTTAAATTATAATTCAAAGAATTCAGGAGCAGTATTCATTCCTGACATGAAGCCCTTTTCAGCACTTCTTTCAATCACATTTAAAGCATAAAGTTCTTCCAGTAAAACCCGAGGACAGACAATGAATAGCAGCAGCTCTTCTTGGATGGAAACATTGGTCAATTAATGTAATTGGGTAGCATTGCAATTGGTAATTAATCCTTTTAAGAGTTTGCTGACTCAATGTGATGGAGCTGCTGGCTTGTCCTGGACCAGCCAAACTTGGCTGCAGTGTATAGGTGACCAGCACCAGAGTGCAAGTGCACTGCCTCAGAGAGAGGTCAGATGTCATCTGTCACGTGCTGGTAGGTGTGAGTTACGCTTATGGGGTTTGGACATCTTCACAGCAACATTCTTGTTCCTTTGATCGTTTGCTTTGAAACTGAAGCCTCTCATAAGAGAAACATTTTATAAATGGTTTTCATGAACCAGGTTTATTACTCTCGGATAAGAACAGCTTACATTCATACTTAAGAGGTAGCTTTAATCTTTTTCACCACACGAGATTCTGGTTTTTTAAAAAAGGGAAATTACCAACAAAAATTCAGACTAATTGTGCTTTTAAATATATATTTTTTTAAGTTTACTGTAATACTTAAGTTTCTTAAGAAGAATTTTATTTCACTTTTTACTAGTATCACACAATTGATTTATTCTTTATATTTTCAAAGGTCAACAGGAGTTACCAAGAGCATTCAGTGCCCTCTTTTAGCTGACGGTAACTTCAGCTCTGCCGTGTGACTGCAGAGGCATGCAAAGTCGTGTTCTTTTCCCTCATTACTGTTCT